CATGACTGATAAGCTTGTTGCATTTCCAGAGCAGATGCAACCAGGAAAAACAAGGATGTCTCTTTGGAAAGCTGCTTTTCAGGGGGAGCAATTCCAAGTGGCTCCAGCCTCCTAAGGAGCCATGAGTGTCCCCTCTTCCAACCCTCCTTTGCATGGAAGTTTGATGCTGTCAGGGTGATGGTCCCAAGGTACATGGGCAAAGGCACATCTGTGCTGGTCTATCATAGGTTGGACTAGAGACCGGGGACTAGATGAGGTCATCTCCCGAGGCACTTCTCAGAGGCATCCGAGGAGGCGGGAGCCTTGAGCTCTTAAGGAATAGCCAGGAGCCCTGGACAGAGGACAGTCCCCCAAGCAAAATCACAGCCAACATCTCTTGGGATACTTTCAGCCCTCAGCCCTCTTCACCTGGGATGAGTTCCCTGCCTGCCCCATACCACCACTTGGAATATATTTTTAGAATGTTTTCATGAAGAATGCATCTGCCAATCCTGTATAGATCAGTTACAAAACAGAAACTCTTCCTCACTGCTAGGGAGAAGAGTTGAAGCCGGGGGAGAAAGAAAAAAAAAAAATCTTGCCTGTAATTGAAGGCAGGTTGGGAGATGTTCACGCTTTGAAACGCTCCTTCTTGTGAAATGTTTATGAAACACTTTCCACAAACGAGTTATGCAACTGGGACAACAGCTTTGATCATTTTCATCACCAGTGATATATTCATTAGTGTTGGACTGTTTTCCCCTAGAGGGGACCATGTGAAAATGTCATGGGGAGGGGGCTAAAGATGAGTACCCCAGCCCCACCATGACCCCAAAACAGATGGTCAGTAAGGTCCAAGTGTACGCCAGGCCAGAACACCACATTTTCTATTATCTGTGGTCTATTCTCCCACCCCTGGGGCATTTGTAGTATTTTTTGGTAGAGAGAGCACCAGGGGAGGGTCAGGAGAACATTCTTTTGTCAGAGTTTTGCCAGTGTCTTGCTGTATAACTTTATAACTGTCTCTGAAGCTCTCTGGGCTTCTGTCCTCACACCTCCTGGCTGGGAGGTAAAGCCAAGAAAGGATGTACAAAGGGCTTCCACCTCCTCAAAAAGGGCTCTCTCCTTCCAGAATGAGGCTGCTGCTTTCTAAAGTAGGTAATGTCAGAGAGTTCACTGGGATTAGAAAAGATAATTACCCGTGATACATTTTTACCTCCCTGGTCACTGCCCAAGACTCAGTCTAATACCTTTGCACAGCACAGTGGGTGGAGAAAATCCTAAACTAACAAACCTTGTCCAGTAGGTGGGCAGGATGTCCAATGGCTGTGACAAGGCAGAGCACTGTGGTGGCCCGTGTCCCCAGGGATTAGTCCATCCCAAATAAAGTCTGGAGAAAATTCCACTTGCGTGAGAAGACCTGCCAGAGAAACCCTGGGGATGATCTTCATGATTCCAGGCAGGCTGGGGTTTGGTTTGGGTTTTCACAAGTACGGGGGAAATTGGGTCTTTGTCCAATTTGCCTCCGGTTCTCACATTAGAAGTCAATTCGAGATCCAACAGAAGTCTCTCTATCTCATCTCCTAGATCCACAGCCAACACCCAGTTGCCTGGAAAGCTTCCAGCCTTTTCCCTTCGACTGCGGGGAAAGGGACTTTTTGGATTTGGGAGGACTTTATATCTTAATTTCTCAGTTTCTGAGCCTCCAAGAGTATCAAAGAAGTCTGCTGGAGGCCTTAGGGGTTGTCAGTGTGTCTTTCCTCCTTCCTGTCTAGCTCGGCTCTTTCTGAGACCACGGACCCAAGCTGAGATTTTTAGAACTTATCATTGAGAAAGAAGTCTCCTTTCCTGTCTTTCAATTTGGTTTGTTTAGGATTGTCTTCTTTTGGGGTTACTGTCAGTCCCTCACACCCAGGGGTGATGAATTATGAAAAATGAAAGAGTAAAAGGTTGGTGAAGCAAAAACAAACAGACAGACAATCGGAAGAATAATACATAGAGTCATTAGAAAGCCCCGGACTAGCACCCAAAGGACTTTTCTGCTATCAGGCACTTCATGTTCACAAGTGGGGGGTCTCGAGTGCCCCCAAAAGAATTTGGAGGGCAATTGATCCAGGAAGCAGATGAAAGGGTGAGTTTTCTTTTATGATGACGCTGGTTTCTGAAATTAAGTGTTGCAGGAAGACCTGGCACGGATTCTAACAGATAGCAGCCAGGTTGGAGGCAAAGCGCATGTTTTCGAACTCTGTCATAGCTGCGTCTCCTTATCTCTCCACTGCGCATAATGAGTCTATAAAGGAGCCCTGCCACTTGCCTCTGAGCTGGAGCGGGGCCAAGCTGCCGGAGGTGGTTGCACCAGCCAGTTTTCCGTGTTCTCCCTCTGTCCCCCTTCCTCCACCCTGCCGCCCATCCCCTCTCGGGGATGGTGCATGCCTGGGGGGCAGGAGAGGGACAGAGAAGGGGGACAAGTGGGGTCGGGAAGGCTGTCCAGAAAGGCTGTGCTTAAGTAAATCCTCCTCTCAGAGCAAACCTTAAAGTTGTGGTGGTTTTGAAATATATTTATTATCTGTTTCTACTTTTTAAAAACCTACTAACAAATGTATCCCTGGAATCTAGGAAGCGGAATCTAGGAAGTGGAAACTCTGATTTCTGGGGCAGAGCTAGGATACCAGGGCTGCTTAGAGGTATTAAGCGTGAAAGGCGGAGCCAAAGGGCCTAGGTGAGGAAAGGGGGCTCTCTGGGACCACTCCCAGGTGGTCATGCCTTCGCTCTCTGCCCCTGAGTGCGACTTCCCATCTCCCTCCTTTTCTCCTCTTTGCTTCCAAGGCTACAGAATAGTCTCTTTGAGTGAGAAGAATGATTTGTAAAGACTGTTTCCTAAAGGAACCATCTTCTTACCAATTTCTGTGCAACAGGGCTGCTTGGTGCTATGTAGGTCTGCTTCACCTAACAGCGCTGCAGCAACCTGGACGGGCCAAATGCACTAGGGAACTGGAATTCATAATTCCATTTTAGGACTAACCGGGAGAAAACCCACGTAGTGTCATACAGCAGATGGGGAAACTGAGTCCCACAGAGGCTGAGTGATTGTTTAAGACACATAGTAAGTTAGAGTCGGAGTTAGACTAGAAACAAGGTCAGCATAGCTTCCTGTTCAATGCTTTCCTTCCTGTACCTCATTGGAGGCTGCGGAGAGAGAAGATTTTTTTTTTTTTTAATATATTTTTTTAAATCATAGAGACAGGGTCTTGCTCTTGCTCAGGCTGGTCTTGAACTCCTAAACTCAAGCAATCCTCCCATCTCAGCCTCCATCTCAGCCACCGCGCCCAGCCTAGAGAGAGAGGTTTTGTTTATTGTCTTTTATTCGGTTAACATTCACTGGGTTCCTGCTATGTGCAAGGCACACATCCTAAATATCAGCTCCCTCCTCTCTAACGTCACTCAACAGGATCTTCCTAACTGTCCGACCAAAAGAAATTCTTCTTTAATGATCCAAATCACTGTTTTTTCCATAGGGATTAAGCACAAAGATAGCTGTTAATCTCAACTTTTGACTCAGGTTGAACTAATACAGACAGGAGAGACTGCAGGATGTCAGTGACATTCCCAGTGTAGGTCAAGCAAGCTGTTTAAACTAGCATGTCTATGGCCATGAGTTTCCACCTGGGCAGAAAACAACCAGATGTCCTAATCAGAGGGACTCACCAATGCCTTTTATAAGGTGTGGTCTAGATCCTGTGCTCCTTGCCAGATTATATGAACTCATAGTCACTTGGCTTTTCCTCCCAATGGACTTCCTACAAAGCTGCAAGAGGGTAGTCATCCTAGGGGTGGAATGAGGGGTGGGCACAGGTCGTACTTCCTGCCCTGCCCTTGGACACCTGGGAAGCCCACGAGGAGGTGGTTTGTGCTATCACTGAAGGGTGTTAGAGGCTGGAGAGAGTTTGGAAACCACCAAACTCTCAGGCCCCTCAGGCTGCAACTACAGCATTGATTGTGAGGGAGACATGTCCTCACCTGTAGGAAGACAGGCAAAGACTGTCACCAAAGCCACACAGGCAAAGAAGGCCAGCTGCAGAGGCAGTCTGGCACAGAAGATGGAGAGGTATGGGAATAAGGGCGTGGGGAGGGAAAGGTGGTCCTCCAGCTCAGTGCTTCCCAGACTTCAGGGCTTCACAAAGGGGATTCCATGCAGGAAAGTGAAAAACAGAATCTGGGGGGAATCAGTAAAGGGTTGTTAACTTTTTACTCTGCGACGGAGGGAGTTTTTAAAACATGCTTTAGGATCACCATCATTTCCTAAAGGAAATTCTAACATCTTTTCCTCTTAAGAAAAAAAGAACATCATCTTAGAATTTCCAAGAACTTAATCCATTAAGTTTTTTCTTTTTTTTTGAGACAGAGTCTCACTCTGTCACCCAGGATAGAGTGCCGTGGCATCAACCTAGCTCACAGCAACCTCAGACTCTGGGCTCAAGGGATCCTCCTGTTTCAGCTTCCCGAGTAGCTGAGACTACAGGCGCACCACCTTGCTTAGCTAATTTTTTCTATTTTTAGTAGAGACAGGGTCTCGCTTTTGCTCAAGCTGCTCTCGAACTCCTGACCTCAAGTGATCCTCCTGCCTCAGCCTCCCAGATTGCTAGGATTACAGGCATGAGCCACCGTGCCCAGCTCATTAAGCTTTATTTTCAAAAGCTTCTATCCACATTTTTCTCATTCCAATGAGGAAAACAAAAACCATACTAGGTGCCAGCACAGGACCCAGAGTGGTGTTTGGGACCATCAGTCTAAGTGGGCTCCCCACATTGCAGAAGGGCACTCCGTGGTGCCGCTCACGTGTGTTTCTGACCAGCTGCCCTGGCCCAAAGGGCCCGCACAGACAGGAGAGTTGAGCTGCAGCCCAGTCGGTACTGGGCTAGCTCTTTCCTCTCCTGGCCTGTCATTTACCTCCTGCCCTGATCTTCGCTGCTTCCATTTCTGTCTGCCTGGAATTGACACTCTCCTCCTGCCTCCACTTGCAGATTAAAACAGAGGACCTCAGTGACTCCCTGCAGCAGACCCTCTCCCATCGACCATGCCACCTGAGTCAAGGACCCACCATGATATCCGGAAACCAAATGTCTGGGGTAAATGCCAGCCCATGTCAAAGAACTCTGATATTCTCAGTGGGCTTGTGAATTTAATTCAGTCTCTCTGCGAAATGCTAGACCTCCACACTTGGCACTCTGTGAACTCATATTGGTCTAAAGAACTCCCTGCAGGCAATATGGGAAAGAGATTTGTCCTGAGACAGTAAGTAACAGCAAAGGCCCGAGAGGGCGATCACGTGGCGAGCCCTCTTCTGGGGAAGAAAGAGCCACCCCTTCTCCGGAAATACTTAAGACTAGAATGCACATCCGTTCCTTCAGTTCTTCATTCAGCAAGGTTTACCGAGTCTCCTCTGTGTGCACAGACCTGAGCTCAGCCCCACAGGGGTGCAGAGCTCTGGGCGCCTGGATCATGGAAGACTCCCAGATCCCCCAAGCGTTGGGATTATTATTCCCATGTCCTAGGCTGGTGGAAGAAACCTGGGGCAGATGGACTTTCTGTTTCACCAAATTGGTTTTATTAAGAAGTAATAGTTTACCCCATCCTCCAACTCCCACCCCAATACCCTCCAGGAAAGATTCAGGCATAGGAAGTGGCCAAGGCATGGCTTTTAGCATAATCAAGTGGCGTGAAATTGAAAAGAAACATTGGACAACTGAGATTGCATGTCATTTCTAGGATAAACCTTTGAAAGATAGGAAATACCCAGTCTCTGCCCTCAGGGCATTTACAGTCTGGTTCGGAGACAAGACTAACACATACAAAAATTAAATCATAAGGCAAGGGTTAAGTAACAGTATGTTGCAAGGACGGCTTCGCTGAGTGCAGAAGTTGTAACAACACCAGCATTGATGGAGTAGCTACTATATGCCAGACGCTGGGAATACACAGTGGCATAAGGCAAGGTCACTGCCCGCAAACTGTCATAGTCTGGAGACCCATGGGACAGATGGGCAGCAGGCAGATGGAGCCAGTGTCCCCAGCTTGTAAATTCTGTGATGTGTGTATATCTCCCTGTGTGTAGGACATGGCTTCCCTCCATCCGCTCCAGCAGCTCGTGCTGGTTCCTGGCCACTTACAGTCCGTATCCCAGTTCCTGCTATCTCAAACCCCGCCTGGGCAGCAAGGTAAGAACCCTGGGGTGGGCTGGGGTGGGGTGGTGGGGGAGGGGCCACACAGACCAAGTGCAGCGAAGTGCTGCTGCTGCTGCCTGCTGGGAGGGGGAGTCTACCTGCAGAGCACAGGTGAGTCGCTCACCCCTCTGGTATTTAGACCCACTTGTCCACCTCGGGGTCTGAGGAAGGGACCCCAGCAGTGCTCCTCCAGGCTCCGTCTCCTTTTCTGCTTCCCCTTCCCAGCCTCCTGCTCAATCTCATGGAGAAATGAGACGGAAGGTGTAGGAGTGGTGGAGGGCTGGGCAGTACAAGGAAGGAGAAGCACCCTGGCAAAGGCAGTGTACAAAAGTCCCAATTCCATGGAAATCTCTCTTGGACAGGGATTCAGACTTACCTCCTGGAAGCCTGGCTGTTTGGATAGAGCAGCAGTGCCACCCACAGGTCGTAAAAAAGGTTTTCAGGTTTTCTTTGACAGGGAAGTTACTTCCTGGCCAAGAGCAAACAGATGAAACAATTAATAATAATAGGTAGTATTTCTTGAGCACGATGTGCCCAGAGTTCCGCTGAGTGATTTTCTTGACATTCCTCAAAATAACCTTATGCAGTAGGTAGTCATATTATGCCTCTGGTGACCTACTAGAAAATTTCAGAACAATTTGACTAAGACCCATGCTCTTGGCCAAAACACTGTACTGCTTTTCCCACTCCCATCTCCACTAACTAGGGCTGAAAGTGATGGAGAAAGTATAAACTCTCCTCTGTTGTACAAATCCCAAGGCTTCTACTAGAAGCTTTGGAAATCCAGATTCTAAACAAAACACAACTCTGCCTTCCATCCTAGCACCTTCCAAATTGCAGTCTTTATATTTAGTTTCCAAGGCATCTCAGAATATTATTGGGATGAATGAGAACATATTTGAAGCATTAAGTGTTTATAATGTTTTGGCTAAACAACACACATCATACTCCTAGAATAGGGGCTAGAAGATAACAATTCATTCAATTTGTTTTTGGAAGACTGGCGAGTGATGTGAAAATGGCTCAAGCATATAACCAATGAGGTCAGTGTATGATGCAGGGGAAAAAATAATTCAAAATTTAGAGTCAGAAAAATTCATTGGTTAAAAAAAAAAAAAATCACTAACCGTGTGTCCTTGAGAAACTTACCTAACCTCTCTGAGCTTCCATTTCCTCCTCCATCAAAACGGAATAATAATAAAATTCTACCTCACAACATTATTGAGGGTTACTTGAAATAATGTATATGAAAAGGCTTTGTGCATTTTGAAATGCAATAAAATAATAAAATGTTAGAATTGTTATTAGTACTCAACCCTCTGAAATCCTAGTCCAGGGTTCCTTATGAGAGCTTTCTTGCCTATTATTTTAACAATGAACAATTAAGCCCCCAATTTTTTTTTTTTTTTTATCCGAGACAGAGTCTCACTCTATCACGCTGGGGTAGAGTGCAGTGGCATCATCATAGCTCACTGCAACCTCAAACTCCTGGGCTCACGTGATCCTCCTGCCTAGGCCTCCTGAGCAGCTGAGACTACAGGTGTGCACCACCACACCCAGCTAATTTTTTCTATTTTGGGTAGAGATGGGGTCTCGCTCTTGCTCAGGCTGGTCTCAGACTCCTGTCCTAAAGCAATCCTCCTGCCTCAGCCTCACAGAGTGCTAGGATTACAGGCATGAGCCACTGTGCCTGGCTAGCGCCAACTTTTTGAGACCAAAGAGCATAAATGTCAACATCAGCAGATGCTGTACATCAGTGACCCTAGAAGATCCTGGGGACAACAGAGGCCCCAACGTGCTCCTCTGTGTTGAGTGATTAGGGTAGCTCACCTCATTGTCTGCTTTGGTGGTTTGATGGCTCCACTCCTGCTGGGACAATGAGAAGTCCTGGCTGTGGCCCTCCCAAGAGGGAGGCCACTTGTCATGCCACCAACCAGGCAGAACCCTTTCTGTACAGTCTTCCTGGAGGGGAAGTAGAAGGAGGTCCCCAGACAGTGTAACAAGCAGGAACAGTCCATACCACTCATTTGGGTACCCAGAGGCTCAGTCCTTGGTCTTCCCTTCTCTCTCAGCCCTTCATTCCAAGTGTAAAATGTCCTTGTTGGCCATGAGCCTCTGGCCAATGGCTCACTGCCCTTTAGAGCTGTATGGCCCCACGTGCTTGATCTGACATCCTTGCAGATTCAACCTGGCCTTTGGAGCCCTCCCAGCTCCTACTCCCAGCTCCTACTCCTACTCCTGAGTTCTCAGCAGTCGCCCCTGTGCCCTCCCCTCCTGGGTTTCTTCAGCCCTGGCGATTGGATCCCAGCAGATCGCCTTGACCCTCCTTAGCCTTTGCTCCTCTCCAGGCAGGCGGGCAGGCGGGAGGACTGGTTTGGGGACTGCTGTTTGCATCTCTGTTTATCCCTGTGTCTGGTTCGCCTCCACCTGTGTGTGGAAATGTCTGGCAGTGCCATGGGGGCCTCTCCACGGGGCTTGAGGTGGGTTGAGGGGCTATAGGTAGCAGGGGATGGAGACAGTGATCATGGTTCCAGAGTTGTAGAGCATGTCTTTCAGATGGCCTGGATTTTATTCCTCTGTTCCTTTGTCCCTCCCCTCTCACCCAGGTCTGCAGCCAAATCTCCTCCCCTTTCCACAGCAACAAGGCAGTCTCCTCCTCCCACAGACGGGGCCTGGCCTCGCGTCCCAGGTAAACAACCGTGTTCTTCCTGTTTCCTTCAGGAATGTCTTGTCTCAACAGAGTTTGGCCCACTGGTTTTTCTCCACCCCTTTAACAGGGCACTAACCCCTCTCGGAAGAGGGAGCAGCAGTGGACTATCCCTGTTGACATAGGGGGAAAGCCAAGCTATAGCTTGGGGACACCATTTACCCAGTAACACTGGTGGGGCCAGAATTAGAACCCAGAGATCCCAGTTCGAGGCTAGCCTCCCCCATGCTGCAGATACTGAACTCCAGCCCTGAACAGGCCCTAGCATCACTCCTCTGAGAACCAGGGGACAGCTACCCTTCCAGACGTACCAGAGCCACCACCAGCTCTGCCTAGGTGCTCTCAAGCTCCAAGGGGAAGACTAGAATATCATAGGCCTGACATCCCAGACCACAAAGCCAGTGTGTCTCACCTCTGGGCCACTTTACCAGACCACCTCCTACAGGGAGCATGTGTGTGGGTCAGGTGGGCTGAGGTCTGGGGCAAGGGCTGTTTGCAGAGCACCTTTTTGCCAGGGTACATGACTTGGCAACAGAGGTATGAACTTAGCTGCCATTCCTCCCCAGATCTGGGTGACCCTGTACAGTGAATCACCTGCACAGTTGGATGAGATGACTCTGTGCAGATAGGTGTGTGGAATGGTTGGCAATGACTGCAGAGATCGTACTGTCCCTTCTCTGTCCTAAGATCCCCAGGGCTTGCTCACTAAGGGCCCTGACTTTAGAGAGGGCTGGAGAGTCCACAGAAAACACCTGGAAGGGGAGGGCGCCATCTAGTGGTTAAAAGAAATAGGGACCCGGAGTCATGAGCTTCTCTTCCACCTCCTCCTGGAGGCCCTCCCCAGAATCTCGTAATCATAGACTTAAAGCTGGAAGAGATCTTAGTACTCAAGATCAATGTTCATATCTTGTGATATTTGAGTATGGAGAAACTGGTATCAAAGAGACCATTAAAAGATGACTAAGATCATCCTGGAGGGGGTAATAAGGGATTGGTTAGGGTTGTGGCACTAAGAATAGGGGATGAATGAGGAGATGTTTTGGAAAGTTGCGTCAGTGCAATTTGGCCGCTGATTGGATGTGAGGAGGGGAGGGAGAGGGTCCGGCAGAGAACTCAATAACAAATGAATTAATGGACAGGAAGTTTCAAAGAGGACTAAAGCTTTGTCCTAAGGGTCTGGTCTATGCCACCCCCTCCCTATAAAACAAGACTAAATTTATGATGGCTTCAAACTATTCTGTTCTAAAAGACCCTTTGTTGGGGAAAAGAGTCCTTGACTTCTCTCTGGTTCTTTTACCTTCTTCATCATAAGGCTGCCTATCTGAGCAGTAAGCCTGTATGTCTTGGAAGAGAGAAGGAGTAACATTAACCCTAGTCTAGGAAAAGAATAAACCATGGAGGAGAGAAGAGGGTGAATTTAGCCCAAGTTATCCACATGGGCAATAGCCTCTGAGTCGGACACAGTGTCTGGACCCCTAGGCTTAGATTCCACTCTGTCTTTATGGAATGGTCAGTGTCTTCAAGATTGGATTCATTCCTGACCCCAGGGGGGACAACATGGTTCTAGGTTTAAGGGTACATTTCCTATGAAAATAAACTCAAGAAAGAATATCTCTTATCAACTATAAGTGAGATCAAGGTACATTTAGATAGCACAGATTAAAATACCTTTGATTAAAGATAAAACACTTTCATGGTGGTTTAGAAAATAAGATGGCACTCATAAGATTTTGAAATTTTATGGAAGCTCTACCAATGCCATGAGTTCTTGGATGTTCTCCGTTATCTTCAGTTAATGCCTGTTGGACACCTCAGTTACCTTGCTTTGTGGAAAAGAACAGACAAGGCAAACAACCTTTTCCTTGTTGGATTCTGTGATTTGTTTTTGCAATCATTGTAAACAACCCTACTCACTCCTTTTATGGTGGAAACCTGAAAGGAGGAAGTAACCTCAGAATTAAACAGTGAGTCATAGCCTAAAACCCAGAAGGGCCACCTCCCTATCCTGCACTCATACTGTTTCTACTCCAGATATTTCAGTTATTTGCTATACCTTTATAGAAACTCCAACTTCCACTTTCATATTGAAAACGTAGGACTCAAATGTATCCAGGGATCTGTCATCCTCCAAGTGGGTCTATTAGTAAAAAAAAAAAATTGGAAAATGTCGTTCAATCTGTTTGTGAATCTGCTTGGCATGTGCTCCCTATTAGGCAGTTGGCTGCCCTGGGCTGCCAGGATCCTCTTTAGAACCCCACCTGGAAGCATCCCAGCATCTCCCAGTGCCCAAGCATCTACCTAACTCTGGAGGGGCTGATGAGCCCAGAGACCTCGAGGAGCTGGAGAAGTTTGCCAAGACCTTCAAGCAGAGGCGCATTAAGCTGGGCTTCACACAGGTGTGGTTTTGGGGGAGGAGATAGAAGAAATTGAGTTGAGTGAGTAGGGAATGGGCTTCCCAAGTGCAGGTTTCAAGAGCAACCTGAGTCTCAATGTATTCGGGGCAAGATTATCGTGTCCCTTAGTTCCTTGAAGATAGGGCACAGTAGGGAAACTGAGGATGTTGCTGGTGGAGGTAAGAGGAATGAGAGTCAGGCCAGGGGACTGGCTCTCCTGAGCACATGGGCATGGTCCACCTGGAGTCTAAACCAATTCTTCATCTTAGAGGGAGAAGACTTGGAAAAAAGCTGAGGGCATGGGTGAGTGCTTGAAGGTTCTGGTTGGGGGTGTGATAGGTGCTAGAATGGTGGGGGATGTGGGCAAAGAAGAGGAAGAGGCTGTCTCTCATGTCCCTCCTTCTTGGTCCCCACGCACAGGGAGACGTAGGGCTGGCGATGGGAAAGCTGTATGGCAATGACTTCAGCCAGACTACCATCTCACGATTTGAGGCCCTCAATCTGAGCTTCAAGAACATGTGCAAGCTCAAGCCGCTGCTGGAGAAGTGGCTGAATGATGCAGGTAGGCCTTGGGGAAACGAGGATGGAAAGAGCACTGGGGGACTCCTCAGGAAAAGGCTAGTGACTTGTCTGTGTCGGGGCTCTAGGGGGTTGATACCTAACACACCTTTCTTCTCTTCCTGAGCCTGGAGCCAAGTGAGAAATAATTCACAGGAGATGGACAGGTGGAGATGAAAATGTCAGCTTTATGACCGAAAAAGCCCTTTGGAGGACGTGGCCATGAAGACTTGCGCCCATTCCAAGCCCAGCATAGACTTTAGCACAGCTCAGAGACCACGTTCGTGTCTGCAGAGCCGACACACTTACCCAAATTACTGTCTGGGAATAGGTCTAGGTCAAGGAGATAGGGCAGCGGACCCTCTGGAGTCTCACGGGGACGGGAGACCACAGGCACCACACGAGGTCTTTACTAACAATTTACTGCTAATTCCTGAGTAGGTGTTCGGTGAACGGGGGGTTGCTGCGATCCAGACTGGCAGGAAAGCCTTACAGCAGGAGTGGGCTTTGCAGGAGGATTCAGTGCAGTGTGGCTAGGGGGCAGTCCCAGAGGTCAAGGCTATAAACCAGGGACAAAGCATTTGGAATAACGCATAGATGAGTTTGGTGTTAGGATGGGGTCTTTCGACCTTGGCATTATGGATATTTGGGGGCCATATAATTCTTGTGGGAAACTGGCCTACATATTGCACGATGTTTGGCAGTGTCCCTGGTCTCTATTCACTGGCTGCCAGCAGCACCTGCCCCCAGTCGAAACACCCCAAAATGTCTCTAGACATTGTCAAATGTCCCCAGGGGCAGTGGTGGTGGTGCAGAGTCACCCCTGGTCAAGAACCACCAGCCTAGGTGGAGAGGGCGGGAGCAAGCCAGTCCCTGTGGCTGGGCTCTGTCCAGTGGATACCTGTGGGTTAGTGACTACTGTGGAGGGGGAGGGGCAGGGTGCGCAGCCGGCGGTGTGATCCCTGTGCGAGTCCCTCACACGGAAGCAGGGGAGAGGGCGAGGAAGCTCCCCCCGCAGGCTGTCCCTTAGACAACTTTCTTCAAAGCACCGAAGTGACAGAAATGATCAGAGGGTCTTAGACTGTTTGGGAAAGGGCCTTCTAGATCATTTCTAGCATGGTCCCCATCTGGTGCCTGCACCCTTCCTAAGGGATATCCCTCCTTCGGATCATACAGCCTTAGTGCCAACATTTGCGCTTACAAGAAAGTGGCTCCAACACCAACATTCTGCCACCAAGTGGCTCAGAATCGCTTTTGGCTCAGAGTCCCACCTCACCTTTTACTCGGTATTCACATCCGGGCCTGTCTGCAGAAATCAGACTCATGAGGGTTACTGGTAGGAGCCCTGCCATACCTCCGCACACCCACGCATGCCGCCGATGTCTGGGCACCCCTGAACCGTGACCACAAACACTGGAAATGCCACCGTGGGGGTCATGCAAGACCTTTGCCCAGAGCAACGAGGAGAAGCAGGATTTTCAGTCTGTTCTGGGTCCCTTTTTGGGGGTGGGGCTGCTCCTGAAAATGCCACTGCAGAGCGCACTGGGCAGGGCTGTTGGACCTCAAGTCCATGAAGGCAGGGCCTTGACCGGCCTCTCGTCCCCTTCTTGAGCCTCTTTTGCTCCTTCGCCTCCCCGCAGAGTCCTCTCCGTCAGACCCCTCGGTGAGCACGCCCAGCTCTTATCCCACCCTCAGCGAAGTGTTTGGCAGGAAGAGGAAGAAACGGACCAGCATTGAGACCAACATCCGCCTGACTCTGGAGAAGAGGTTTCAAGATGTGAGCAGCTCCTCTGGGTGGAAGCGGGTGGCAGCCCCACGCAGGTGGGCCAGTGGGGTCTGGCACAGGCCTCTGGGCACCGAGTCCTGCCCACCTCGCACTGCCCCGGGAAATGGTCAGAAAGTACATTGTCCCCACCCAGGTACCCAGATATTTGAGGGAAAGGCTGCCCTTCCTCTCAGGTTCCAGGAACTTCTTCCTTACTGACCCCTCTTGCCCTGACATCTATTTAGGGCCCATTGTTTTTCTCACTGGGAGATTTAAAGAATGGGATATGGGGTCCCAGGAGACAGGGTATCTCTGTGTCCAGTTGATAAAAAGGGAGCAAAGCCAGGGCATTGTATATAAATTATCTATTTCTACATTTTGTATTTTTCTAATTATAAATGTAATAAATGCTCATTGTAAGCAATTTGGAAAGTACAGGGAAGTAGAAAAAAATCTACCAGCAAGTGCCATCTGAATGCATTTCCTTGTATTCCTTTTTTCGTGTACATTTAAATAGTTGTGATCATATTGTACATGCACATTTTTTGAACTTGTAGCAAAGGTATATTCTCGAGCCAGCATGCGAAAGCTATGAGCCCCGTGGGAGCCGGGGGACAGAAGAGGGAGAAATAGGTGTGCTCTACACAGCTTCTAGTCAGGGTCCCTGAGGTCCCAGCCTCCACAGCCTCTGTAGACACCGTTCCTCTCTGAAGGCCCAGGTAGATCCCCCAGTGCATCTGGCTTGAGGCTTTGGTGGCCGCATCCTGCTGACAGGAAGACGGGAACTGGCTCTTCCTTCTTTTTGGGCTTCTCAGAGTGGAAAGGTTAAGGCAGAGTGCAGGAGTCAGGGGAACGGAGGCAAAACTGAAGGCTGAGCAAGAGGCGCCAGACGAGGGAGTGGCGACCTTACGTGTGTCTGGCCCACGTCCTGACGGGGCCACGTGTTTCAGCTCGCTCATTCCCCATTTTGAGGTAGGAGAGCAGGAAGAAGTGACAAGGGAGAAGAGTATCAGGTCATGAGGATGGAGCACAGAGCAGAGTGTGGGTTCTGGGAACTCTGCCTGCCCCACATAACTCATCCACAGGCTCCTCACCTCAGAACTTCCCCTGAAGGAAGAAGTTGAAGAAGACAGACAGGCTCCATTTATGAAGCTTCAACTCTGTGGCAGGCCCTGCGCGTGGCAGTATACACACATTTTTTTCATCTAATCCTTACAATAATCCTATATGGTGGACATCATTACTCTCATTTTATAGTTGATAAGACTGAGGCTCAGAGAGGTTAAGAAAGTTTCCTGAGGACATACAGTAAGTGATAAAGCCAATATTCCATGCTAGGTCTGACTCTAAAGCTTTTGATCCATTTGTTGTTTTATCCTGCTTCTTTGGAACACCATCCCCAAGTCCCGATTCCCTCCTCTTGACCACACTCTGTCCCTTCGGTCCCTGTAGAACCCCAAACCCAGCTCAGAGGAAATCTCCATGATTGCAGAGCAGTTGTCCATGGAGAAGGAGGTGGTAAGAGTCTGGTTCTGCAACCGACGCCAAAAGGAGAAGCGAATCAACTGCCCTGTGGCCACACCCATCAAATCACCTGTCTACAATTCCCGTCTGGTGAGTGACCAAGCTGTCTGCCAAGCACTGGGGGACAAGATTCTGGAGGGCAAAGAGTCTTCCCCATCCTGGGAAAGGTGGTGGTTGGGGGACAGAGGGGGCAGGGCATGCAGTAAATAAATAAACAAAGAGAAGCTGTGTATAAAATATATATGCTGTGCAGACTAGAGAAGGGCGAAGGGATAGGAAGTGATAGTGGGGAGATGCTCCTTTAAATGGGAGATCAGAGAGGACCTCCTTGATAAGGTGGCATTTGAGCGGATACCTAGAGTTGTAAAGGAATGAAATATGTGGCTACTGTCTGAGGGAAGAATGTTCCAGGTGGAGGGACCAGCAGGTGAAAATACCCAGCATGTCTGAGGAGCAGCAAGGAAGCCAGGGCAGCTGGGTCAGAGCAAGGAGAGTGGGGGGCGAGAAGCAGGAGAGGAAGCCAGGGGAGGCACAGGGACCAGACCACCCAAGGTCTTAGGGGCCACTGAAAGGACCCTGGCTTTTAGTTTAGGTAGAAGGAGAAGCCACTGGAGAGCTACAGGCAGAGAAGCCTGAACTGGTGACAGGCTGCTGTGCGAATAACCTGTGTGGAAGCAGGAGACCAACTAGGAGGCTCGTCCCAGGCTGGGAGCCATGGTGGTGAGAGGGGGAGTTGCATTCTGGGTATACTTTGACCCTGGAGCAACAAGATGTGCTCAGGTAGGGACTGTGAGAAATGAGGCAAAGAAGACTATAAAGGTTTTGGTCTGAGCAACAGGTTGGAAGGCACCGCCATGTTCTGAAATGATGAAAACTGCAGGAAGAGCAGGTTTGAAGAAAAAAGCTAAGTTGGACATGTTAAGTTGGACATGCCTACTAGGCATCCAAGAGGAAGTATCAAGGAGTTATATCTGCGACTCTGGTGTTGAGGGAAGGAGCCAGGGCTGGGAATAATTTGGAGTTCCAGGCAGACATGGAAGTTTGGGGAGCAGGAAATCTCTTCTCCATCCAGGGTGAGAAGGTACCCAGAGGATAGGGGAAGAAGGTTCCTCCTTCTCTGGGCATGATGATGGTTGAAGGTTAAAGGAGTTGGGGATAATGATGTTGTGCTTGGGTGAAAGTCAGCATTGTCAGGGTGGGACATAACTGTCTCACGAAAACTATACCACTGTTGATTCTTTCGTCCATCCACCATCTATATACTGGTCTTCGTGCTGACAGCTGGGGATACAAAGATAAACACTATTTGCTCCCCATCCCAGAGGACCTCCCTGCCTAGCAGAGGAGCAGACAAATAAATGAATGACAAACAACATGATCATCTCTCTAGGAGAACTTAGGAGCAGCAGCTAACAAACCTTGGGAGGTGGTGGTTAGGGCAGTTTTCCCCAAGGTGATAAATAATGGCTGTGCTGAGTCTAAAAGGACAAGAAGGAGTGAGAGGCGGGTAAGTGTGGGGCAGAGCTCTCACCAGGAGAAAGCATGAACACAGTGGTGTGGAGCAGAAAACGGGCGGTGCGTTCACGGGACCGCATGTGGTCCCCCGTGGAGGAATGTGGCAGGATGAGGCTAGACAGATTGGATGGGGCCCAACCAGGAAGGGATCGTGTGCAACACTGAGGAACCCAGGGTTTGGGAGAATCTCTAGAGGATTTCAAGGAGAGCATGGGCACGATCAGATTTGCTTTTGCAGATGGTCACTCTGACTGCAGCATGAAGGAGGTCTTCAGAGGCACACATGTGGTTGCAGGGAGCTCAGCCAGGACTTGACTACAGTTATCTGGTAGGGAAATAACAAGAGCGAAGCAAACCCACATGGTGAGGATGAGGGGATGGGACAGATTCATGAGATAATTAGGTCTTGGTTAATAAATTGAAAGTTGGGCGGGAGTAGGAAGAGCGATAATGAAAAGAGCATCCTCTGAGATGACGCCCAGCGTTCAGGCTGGGCCAAGTGGGGCGATGGTGGTGCCATTTATGGAGCACGCAGATGGGGAGGAGCTGGTTTGGAAGTGGGGAGAAGTGATGATATCAGTTTTCTGCGTCACTATGATGTACAGTGAGGCCTGCAGGACACCCGAGTGGGAATGTCTGGGCACCCCGGGCACCTGCATTTCGGGCCTGGAGGTCAGGAGGGAAGGCTGGGACGGGGCCGTGGACGAGGAGGCATGAGCACACAGGCAGTGGCTGAAAGCCTGGGTGAGGAGGGACTCACCCACGGAGTCTGTACGGAGGAAGCAAAGAGGAAGGAAGAGGATCAGGGAGGACACTGCAAGCAAGTAGGTGTGAGGGGTGTTGCACAGGGCTGAGCCCTACAGGAGTGCTGTGGGGACCCAGATGAAAGACACCCACATCGGAATGGGGTCCGGGAGGGCAGATGCCCTAATTTGTTTGAGAGCAGATTAGGAATTAGCAAGAGTAGCATACCATGCAGAGGGAACCGCCGTGAGAAGGCACAAAATTGTAAAACAGCATGATTTATTTGAGAATCACAAGCATTTCAGTCTGGCTGGAGCCAGGGATTTGGGATTGAAAATCAGAGAGGTTGATGAGGGCTGGATCCTGGTGGGCCAGGGATGCTAGATCTCTGAAAAGCTGGGAGGAACCATCGAACATTTCAGACTGGAGGCAACATGATATTCATTCATCATTCCTTCCTTAAATATTAATTGAGCACACACTGTATGTTTGGCACTGAGGATAGAGCGGCGTACAACATCTAGCAGGGAAAACAGATGCTAAACAAATGCTATTTGTGATGAAGGCTTCAGAGGCGGTGAGCAGGTATTTGAGGGACCTGATCTAGTCCAGGGTGTCAGGGGCTTCTCTAAAGAATGATGTTTAAACTGACACCAGGAAAATGAATGTCACCATTGACATTCGTGAGGAAAGTGTCTGAGTTGGGAGTAGGATGGGGAGACGGAGGGTGGGGAAGAATGTTCTAGGCAGAGGAAATGGTGTGTGCAAAGGCGCTGAGGCTGGTGGTGGCGTGGGGTGGGGTGGAAGAGGAAGCATAGATGGCTGGAATGGGCTGGAAGCCAGGGGACGAAGAAGAGTGCGAACGAAGCAGCTGGAGTGGCCATGATCCAGAGGGGCTGGATTATGTAGGCATTGTAGGCCACATGAAGGAACCTGGACCATGTCATAGGAGCTTTGGAATCTTTAAAGATGGCGCTTTGTTTAGAGCAGATGAGAAGTAGGTCTTCACTTGGGTTCAATTCCAACCCAGGACACCAACATGGAGGGAAACGGTGGGAAGCCTAGAGGAGAGGCGAAGGGGCCTCACTTGTTATCAGCATTTGTTCAATGCACATTTACTGAGCACCGCAGAAGGCACTGGGGATGCAGCCGTGAACCACACAGGCATTATCCCACTGTCATGAAGTCCGCAGCCAAATGGGGGAGAAAGACATTAAACAGTTACACTAATAGTCGTGATGCCATGAAGGAAGAGGACAGAGAAAACGTCCTGATCCTGTCTTCTCAGATCTCATTGAGACAGTCCCTTGGGACCAGAACATAGTTTCTTCTGCTTCTGATATGAAATGATCTCCAAGATATATAGTTAATTTAGGAACAAAAAAAAGGTAAAAATGGTGCAGATCAGTGTGGGCAGAATACTACCATATACATAAGTGTATGTGGGTGTGTGCATGTGTGTGTGTGTGTGTGTGTGTGTGTATAAAATAAAAAAGGGGAAACCATATACAAGTATATTTCTGTTTGCATATGCATAGCCTGTCTCCAGAAGGAACCAGAAGAAGCTGGTCACAGTGACTCAATACATTATTATTTATTTAAAAACAACAACTTTCTTGGGTGTGGCTGCAGGGAGGGAGAAGGAGAAGAGGGAGGGAGACTGCTGATAACATCTCTTACTGCTCTGCCACCCTTCCAAACCATACCCCACACCCGTCTCCACCCTTCACCCGCCTTGCCCCCATCCTCTTAAGGAGGCTCATTGTCTAAGGAAAGGTAAATGCATGCAATGAGAACCCGTGCTGATTAAGGAGGAGATGTGTACATGCTGCGTCCTGTTTGGATGCGATCTTCCAAATCGGGGAGGGGAGGAATATCAAATCTCAGGTCCCTGAGCAGAACTGTCCTTCAATATCCTCTGAAAACACTGGTCCGAGCTTCCCCTGTCAGCATGAGAAGAATGAGGGGTAGTGACAGTATCCAGATTATAGCTCAAAAGAACAGTTGAATAACATCTAGAGATAATACAGCAGCTGACAGCTTCTTCCTTCAGGAAGGAAGCGAGCTCACATTTAACAAGCTGGCACTTCTTGCCAGCCATTAGGTTGGAAGCTTTATGGGCATGATCTCATTAGATCTGAAGTAGAAGAAAATATTAAGGAGGTATTGCTGCTGTTTTATGGATGAGAAAACCAAATCTCAGTGGGGATAGGTAAGTCGCCCAAAGTCACGTGGATAGCAAGTGGTGGAACCAAGTCTTACTCCCAGATCTGTTGGGTTCCAACGTCCATTCTTTCTATTCTATCTTATTCTGGGTTGTTCCAGGATAGTAATAGTGAGGGCGAGGTTCCCAAATTGCATGGGAGGTTAAATTATCACAGGTCCCTTTCTAATCTCAGAGTGGATGGTGCTGGGAGGTCTCCAGGGCAAAATGAAAAGCTTCCGAGAGCAAAGTTCAGCTCCTCCAGTGATCGCTGGAGAGTTCACGGTCCATTCATTCATCAAGGTGGGAAAGTCTAAAACAGAATTTCTGGGGCTGGACACTCTGCTGCCCTGAGCAAAAGCAGGGTTTATTTTAGGAAGGAAGAAATGGAGACCAGAAAAGAGGCAAGCGGCTAGCAGTACCTGCCACAGCACGATCCAAGAGCCTTGCTCTTTTCACTGCCAGGGCACTCAGCAAGGCAGCCTTCGGCCTGGCAGTGCCAAAGAAACCTTGCCAGGGGACACATGGCAGGGAGGGGAGGGCTTGGCACCAGGGAGCTTCCGGAGCAGAATGGAGCTGGAGCTGGATGCCTGTATGTGGTCCAGAGGCCTTCCTATAAAAAGGAGGATGGAGCAGAAGTTTCGGACTAAGAAATCATCAAGGAAGCCAAGCCCTGGTTTCTGCAGAGTCTGGGCCCAGAGTCCTTGGAGAAGGGCCCCGAGTTGGAGAAGGAAGCAGGAATGAACATTTACAAGCTGCTGTTGTTTTTCAGGTCTCTCCCTCAGGGTCTCTGGGCCCCCTCTCTGTCCCTCCCGTCCACAGCACCATGCCTGGAACAGGTGAGCTTTAAAATGAAGTTTCTGAATAACATCAGAATTCCTTTAAATATGGGATATTAGAACTGAAAAGCACCTGAGTTAGCCTTTCCTAAATGTATTTCTAAGGATGTTAAAGTCTGTGTTGGGAAAAAAAAAGTTTCCACGATCATTTAAGTTTGGGAAATGCTGATGTAAGCAAAGTTCAGACAAGTGTGTGTTTGTGTTTTGTTTTGTTTTAATTGCGGCACTTCCCAGCACTCGAGTGCATAGCACATTCCAGTGTGAGCTGTATGGAAGGCTGAGGGAAGGCAGGGCTTGCCAGACTAATTTTCTGCAAACTAAATTTCTCTATGTTTCAAAAAGTACCTATACAATTTCGAAGAAACTAGATCGGGTGACCATATGTCCAAGTGTGCCCAGGACAGTCCTAGTGTCTGCCTCATGTCTTGACATAATTATCAATGGCACTTCCTTCTACTTTTCACAGTGTCTTAGTTTGGACGGTAAAATATATGTCACCCTATCCACAGAACACAGTTTGGGAGACATAAACACAAGAATTAATCCAAATCTGCCATTTTACAGAGGATGAAAATGAGTTTCAGGGAAGTAAAACAAGTCAGCACAGGCCACAGAGCTGTTTAGTGAATGGCCTGGAACCGAGACAAGACTCGAGTCCCTTCACTCCTGGTTCAGTGCTCTTTCTAGAAGACCACGTACCTTTTCTTTGTGGAGATGGGGGAACTAGAGGAGGCTGGCAATCTCTAATTGTGCTCCTAGCTTCTCCTCCTTCCCTGTGCATTTTCCTTTCTTTCCTCCTCTCCTCTTTCTTGTTCTTTTCCTCCTCTTGCCTCTTGGTCTGGGGATGCATATGCCCAGCCCAGGGTGTGTCCTGGAATAGGATAATTTTGGCATCTGTCCTTCTTGTATTTGGCAAGTCTTGGACTTGCAGAACCAGCCACACCACTCTTGAGGGCCTGGGATGCAAAGAGCATTTGCCATGAGAGCCCCTCTGGGGCGGGTGGAGGTTGATGCTAACGTGGTAGGAGGTGGGCAGATGGGTGGGGGGTAGGAGAGGGTGAGGTACCTTTGGGGCTACACCAGGAAATCAAGTGTCTGAAGGGCCAGGTCACGAGGTCCCAGGACCCAGCAGCATTATTTTCCCCTTGTTTTTGCCTCTCCTTGTCCTCAGTAACGTCATCCTGTTCCCCTGGGAACAACAGCAGGCCTTCGTCTCCTGGCTCAGGACTCCACGCCAGCAGCCCCACTGCATCTCAAAATAACTCCAAAGCGGCAGTGAACTCCTCCTCCAGCTTTAACTCTTCAGGGTAAGATGGAGGGGAGAGTGCAGAGACATCCCAGCAGGGCCAAGGGACATGTGAGAAGTTGGGTTAATACCTTGGGAAAGAAAGCTTGTCACAGGGTTGGAGAAAGGGAATGTGGGGTAGGAGAGGACAGAGTGGAGAGCCAGACTGAACTTTATCCCTAGGGAGTGGAGATTTTAAAAAGAAGCTTCAGCTAGTGAGCAGTCCTGGCAAGGAGCTGATGTCAACAAAGCCAAAATTTCCATCCTCACTTTGAAGGGTGGAAATTTCCAAATACTCTTGTCAGAAAGGGCCAGGTCCTTTGCTGGGCTTAGGAGTGCTCCGCTTCATGCCAGGGACCCAGTTCTCAGGGTGTTCTGATGCGAGTCTAGAGCTTAGGCACAAAGAAAAGCCCGGGCTTCAAGCATGGCTGACATAGGGAGAAAGGGAAGTAGTGCAGCCTCCTGCCTCCTGCCCCCAGCTGCCATGCAGTGGGGACAGCAGCCTCCTGGGCCTTAGTTCATGAACCAAAGAATCTACTCTAAAAAGTGTTTTGAGAACCGATGCCTTGAGAGAGAGATTCTGCCCTGATTCAGAACAAAACAGAGATTGGAAAGCTAGGCGATAGGTTATTGACCTAAGATTGTTGGAAGAGATAAATCCACTTGTCCAAATCCAGGCAGTTCAGCAAAGAAGCAGCTCTTATTGGCCAATTGTTGAATAGCCCAAAAAGTTGGAGCTACTCACCTACCCCCATGGGGAGAGATAGACAGGAAAGGAGGTTCATTGGAGGGGGAGAGAGAGAGAAATATATAACATAATAATATAATATATTATATATTGGTAGCTTTAAAAAATTGTTTTGAAACATTCACATACCACAACATTCATCATTTTGAAGTGTATAGTTCAGTAGTTTTTTGGGGTTTTTTTGAGACAGAGCCTCACTCTGTCACCCTGGCTAGAGTACAGTGGCATCATCATAGTTCACTGTAACCTCAAACTCCTGGGTTTGAACAATCCTCCTGCCTCAGCCTCCCAAGTAGCTGGGACTACAGGTGCACACCACCACACCTGGCTAATTTTTCTATTTTTTGTAGAGACGGGGTCTCACTCTTGCTCAAGCTGGTCTCAAACTCCTGGCCTCAAGTGATCCTCCTGCCTCAGCCTCTCAGAGTGCTAGGATTACAGGCGTGAGCCACCACACACAGCCTGTCCAGTAATTTTTAATATTAATATAATCACAAGGTTGTACAACTATCATTGTTATCTAATTCTGGAACATTTCATCACCCCAAGAAACAACCCCTGCATCTGTTGGCAGTCACTCCCCACTCCTATCTTCCCGCATCATATGAATAGCTTTATGATTGACTTGTTTCTTCCTTCCTTCCAGATCTTGGTACCGATGGAATCATCCCACCTACCTCCACTGAGACCAAAAAGTTTCCCCTGCTCCACCCTGTCCTGTATTGCCCACTGGAAGGAAGGGAGTCATGCCTGCTCTGTATGGACAGATTACTTTCAGAAGAGTGAAAGAAAATCCCCATTGTCAATGAACCCAAACTGTTATCTTCTGCAGGAACAATGGCCTCCAGAGATCCAAACTGTGATTGAACCATGTTCTGACTTCTAATTGCTCTTGAAACACATATCCCCTCCTAGGAGTTTACCATTTTCACCTTCCTTGCCTGTGACCTTACCTTCTAGTTTCACGTACTTTAGACGGCTTCACTGTGGCAATAGTCTTTCAGAGAAAGGACTTCTTGCTATTATTCTCCAACTCATCTATGGGCTTCTGGGGACAGCCATTTGCCTGGCGTACCAAACTACCAGAGGGCAAGATAATGGTCTTGACTCTGAACTTAGTCATAATCCCTGGACTGATCCCAAAATCTGTGAAAACATTGAATCTGATATCTCCACCAAAGCCTTGATGTTTTCTCTGTCCAGCAAAGTTTTCTGACTGAATCTTCATTTCACCCCATTTTCTTTTTAAGCTCTTGCCCTTTTCTACAACCAAATGCATTCATCTTGGTCCCCAGGCACGTTGCTCCGCCCACTGGGGGCTCTTCTGTCTGCTCACATCTGCCCAGAGTTCAGGAGCGCTTTTTTCTCTCCCTCTTTGTGTTTCTCCTTATCCGCCTTCTCTCCTTGCCCTTGGCTGCAGGAAAGGAAGAATGCAAGAGCAAACACACAACAATTATGCTGGCAAAATACTTGTATATAGCCCTTTCCTGTTTTTGCAATATATTCTTCTTAATGTGGAATTTTCCAGCAAAATGTTTAACTCAGGTGTGAATTTTGAAGACATCTCTGTAATATTTTATCTTCTTTTTTTTTAAAAAAAAAAAAAAGGAAAAAATACCAAAGTGTGAAATACTGTGCTAACTTCCACAGAGTTCCCATGTGGGCTGGGAATCTTTGTTGACTTTTTTGGGAACGTTATCAATAGAGTCTCCTTTGTAGGCCAGTGTGTAGAGGTGTAATATGAAACCATTCCAGAAATGGTTGCTTTTTTTAAAAAAAGACTATATATCCAGGAAACTGGTGAGATTCAAAGGAATCTCTGTGTTCCTAAAGAAATTTGTATAGTGATTATAAAAACTATTCCACTATTGATAAGAGGTTTAAATTATTGTTTTGTGCCTTTTTGTTGTGGAGGGGATGTGAGTGCATATAATGAGATGGGATGGTGAAAAATGCTCCAGATTGGTTCATTAAGTGGATTACTCCCCACACTGATGCTAAAGATGTCATACGTTAATATAGGACCCTGAAGAGTTCAGAGTTCTTACTCTTTGTGATGGAATGACTTTGAGGGCAGACTAGGCAAGAGATTGGTTTCCTCATTTTGGAAGGGAGAAAATGGTGAATGTTTAAGATCAAGTCATTTGGAGATTTAAGAGTTGGAGGCTGAGGCTGCTATCTCATAGCTCAGATATCTCAAATGTCAAATAGTCATCATTTACAATGGAAAGCAATAAACATCTGAGGCAAAGGATAATTTAACAATCCTATATATTTGGCTTCGGAATGTGTTTTGACTTTTGGCAAGGAGGTCGAGGGGCAGGGAAGCTATCCTTGTGGTTTTTCTTAGATTGATACAAATTTAAAAAGTTATCATCGCTGAGTTAACATTGACCTGTGAGAAAGGGAGGCCCTTCAAGCATGTAATGGCTGAGGGGGAAAAACTAAAATTGGGACGAAACATTTGTTTTGAATAATAATATCCATGTGGGCAACCTATACACAAATAAGGGTTAACCGTTCCTGGCGCTTGCATGGGGCTTATAGTAAGTCTCTTATTTCATGTCATGACATGGAAGAAGACCTATTGGTAGTGGTTACTTTCTCAAGATCTAGTTAAAAGGGGCTCGGTGTGTAGCAGAGATAGAAAGTAGAGCCTTCGGCAGTAATTCAGGTATACGAAGGGACTACTCCACCACCCATGGGCCCACCTCTGCATATGTCTGCGCACACACACAGGTGTGCCTTCCCCCTCGTGTACTCACAGATGTGAGAGCTGACCCTTTCCTACAGCAATCCTGGCTACCTTGACATCCTGCCCTGGTGAGTGGTGAAAATTGATGCCCTGCCCTGTCCAAAACTCTGGTTTTCATACATTCGCCTGTGATGTTTGTGAAAGAAATCGAATTGTAGCCTAATTGTACAGCTTCCAGTAGCTTCCCTTGCCCATTAACTTGGACAGTTGCTGAACGGAGTCAAACTTGAAAGTGAGCACAGATTCACCTTTATGTCTGCATGATTCTGTACAATCCATAATTCCAGGGAAGTTTAATGGTAGCTCGATTAGCTGTTTCAGCATCTAATTAGGAACAAGAAGGAGCATCTAAGGGCAACAACCAGTCATTGCCGAGGGAGAAAGAAAAGGAAAAGAAGATCATTGCTGCTGCTTTTCAAATTTTCTTTCCTACTCTGATGCTTAGTTGATGCAAACCGGGTGGGCCCACCTGTGGGTTCTTAAGACAAAGACTTTTGGTCTGATTTAGAGAATGAGTTTATTAATCCCAAGACTCAAATCAGGAACCCTGTCCTGAGCCCCGAGGTCTCCAGGGCGCTGTCCTTCCTCCATGTGCACCCTGCACGCTCCTGTCATACCTCACTGCCTCTTCTGCTTCCTCCCTGTCTGGGAGGACCTCTTTGAAACGGACGCTTTCTTTTTCTGTATCCCTGTGCCTAACATTGCGACTAGCACATAATAAGCAATTAAAATTTTAAAAAATGGGCCAGGTGTACTGGCTCACACCTGTAATCCTAGCATTTTGGGAGGCTGAGGCAGGAGGACTGCTTGAGACCAGGAGTTTGAGACCAACCTGGGCAAGAGTGAGACCCCGTCTCTACAAAGAATATGAAAAGTTAGCCTGGCATGGCAGAGCACGCCTGTAGTCTCAGCTACTCAGAAGGCTGAGGCAGGAGGATCGTGTGAGCCCGGGAGTTTAAGGTTGCAGTGAGCTATGATGAGGTACTACACTCTAGCCTGAGCAACAGAAACTCTTGTCTCAAAAAAAATTTTTTTTTTTTAAATGGAATTCCTTTTTTTCCCCCACTCTAAACAACTTCTAACACCCTTCACTGAGGTAGGAGCTGTGAGTACATGAGAATACATTACACATGTGAGGGAAATTTTAGTTGCTTGGAGGCAGCATATCTTGGGGATTAAGGGCATGACCTCCAGAGTTGTACTGCCTGGGTTTGTACCCAGCTCTACCTCCTACTAATTGTGTCACCTGGGGAAAGTCTTGATTGTGCCTCAGTTTCTCACCTGTGAAATGAGGATAATAGGTCCCATCCATAGAGTTGTTAGGATTAAATGAGTTTATATATATATGTACACACGTAGAGTGCTTGGAACAATGCCTCTTGGAACAATGGTGCAATACAGGTATTATTTGTGATCACTGTGATTATTATAGTCATTGTTATTAAAGTAAACTGGTGGAGAGTTTCCTGTTCCCTGCTGTCCCCCAGCAGCCCAGAGCTTTTCTGGGGGATGCCATTGTTGACAAGGATCTGATTTGGTGGAACAGGGATTGTGGCCAAAGATATATACATTAATAAAATTTAATCCTAGCTAATAAAGCTTGAATGTGGAATCCCAATCACCCTAGGATAAAGGCCCAATATCCTAGGAAGAACTGGCACCTTCCCTTATCCCCTCAGCCTTTAGACTCCTGGAGCTAAATACTCTGTTCTTTTGTGGGAAATGGTGGCAGCAAGGGCAAAGTCCCAGATTCAGATACTAGAAGGAAAAAAATACTGCAACAAAAACAAATGGGGAAAATGTTGAGATTTGTATACTATCCACTTACTGAAATGGATCCTTCCGTGTTTTCTTTCTTTAGACTATCATTACCTCTTATCTGGTCTATCTCAACACAAGTGTAACAGGTCTTCTCCGATTCCTCTTATAGTGATTTTAGTTGAGTGGCCCTAGAACTGGGGTTCTCAACTTTGGCTACACACTGGAATCACACAGGGAGCTTTAAAAATGACTGACATCCACACAAAGATCCTGATGTACTTTGTTTGGGATGTGGTCTGAATATTAGTGTTTTTTTTTTTTTTTTAGAGAGACAGGGTCTTATCCTGTTGCCCAGGTTGGAGTGTAGTAGTGTGACCAGAGCTCATGGCAACCTCAAATTCCTGAGCTCTAGCAACACTCCTGCCTCAAAATCCTGAGTAGTAGGGCTACAAGCAGGTACCACAATGCCCACCTAATTTTTTTTTTTTTTTTTTGTAGGGGCATGGTCTCACTATGTTGCTCAGGCTGTTCTTGAACTCCTCAGCTCAAGCGATCCTCCCGCCCTGGCCTCCCAAAGTGCTGGGATTACAGGCATGAGCCACCGTGCCCAGCAGGCATTGGGATTTCAAAAGCTCCTCAAGTGATTCTGTGGTGCTAAGAAGGTTAAGGACCACTGCCCAAATGTGCACACAAATCACTGGGGATTTTGTTTAAATGCAGATTCTGGCTTAGCAGGTCTGGAGGTAGGGTCTGAGTCTGTGTTTTTAACAGACTCCCAGGTGATACCGATTTTGCTGGTCCATAGACCATACTCTGAATTCAAGGGCTCGAAGAGCATGATAATACGATTCCCTAGCTCTAAACATCATGGGATTTCTCTTATTAACAATAAAATGCTTCATCCTGGCATCTTAGATTGGCAACAGAGGCATTTAAGGCCCTCTAACAGCAGTGGTTTTCAAATGTGATTGATCATCTGAATGATTCTTGGGTAAGTTTTTAAAAAATACATATTCCTGGGCCCCCCACCAGACCTACTAAATCCCAGTATTCAAGGTGCAGCCTGCACAGTGTATTTTGAAAACACTTTCCCAGCAGTATAGATGATTGACAAGCTTTAGGAACTACAATATGCTTGCAATATAGTTTTCCAGGCTTATTTCCCATTAATTCAACCAACAAACATTACTGCACCTTTCTCATACCAGGTACTAGGGAAACAGATGAAAACAGTGTCATCCTCACCTTTGAGGAGTTGGCAAGATAAGTGACCAAAACTAGAATATGTACTGTTCCCCTGACATGGTCTAAACACTCATACCTCTGCTAAAGTCTTCTCCTTTTGAGAATGTCTGGGTCCCTCAGCACCCTATCATTGCCTGTGCGGATCAACCAAGCCACACCCTCTTTATCCCATCAAGACTCCATACTTCTCTCTTCAAACTTACTCTGTTTGGTATTAAAATAGACCCAAAGGAGGAGAAAGGACTTACCCAAAGTGAAACAATAGTTGACATTTATACAGTGACTTGTATGTGCCAACCATTGTTCTAAGCACTTTATATATGTAATCTTTTAAAATTCTCACGATACCCTTATGAACCGGGTTTTATTATTATCCCCATTCCGAGTACGAAAAAAGGGAGAAACAGGAAAGTTAAGTAACTTGCCCAAAGGCATACCAGGCAAGGTTTACCCTTAAGCCTATGCTTTCCTGCTAAGTTGGTGACAGGGCTGAAATTCAGAATACGGTAACTTCTATTCTCAGGCCTGAGCACTTCCCTGGTTGTCAGTTATTTGGGTGGTTATTTCCCAATTTAGATTCAAGTATGAGGGCAAGGACGATGTTTTACATCTCCCACAGTGCCTAGTTAGGGTGCAAGCACTTAGTAGGTGCTCAATAAATGGTTATTGGATGGGCTGTCCCAACATGGGTAGAGGAGGAATGGGTATTAATTTAAACCAACAGACAACAACACATAAACAAGAGCAACTGCCTGCAGGTCTCACGTCACCACTAGATCCCTTCTCACCCGCCCCCCACCCCGCCAGAAGAAGGAACGTCCAGCGCCCAGCTCCGGCTCTGCGCTCCGTCCTCCCGGCCAGCAGATGCCCCTAGACCCCCGCTCCTTCGCCGCCGCCGCCGCCGCCGTCACCGCCTTGTCCTCTCCCCTTCGCTGCGCCGCTTCCTGTTGCCGCGACCCGGGCCCTGAGCTGTGGGCGCCCGGGCGCCCGAGGCTTCCCGGTGCGCTCCGCTAGGTAACAGCGGAGTGGGCGGGTGGGCGCGGACCGGCCGGCCCCCTGGCGGGGAAGGAGGCGGGCAGACGGCGGCCTGGCCCTGCAGGGGAGGGGGCCTCCTCCGGCCTCTGGGCGCCGCGGCCTCCCCGCGCCAGGCCGCCGGGGGCCGGGGTAACGGTCTGCCTGGCTCCGGGCTCCCGGGCCGGGCGCGGCCGGCAGTCGCAGGCACGTCCGCGCGGAGGTGCGATCGCGGCCCTGCGAGACGCCGGAGGGTGCCGCCCGCCGCCAGCCACGCCTGCTCCGAGGCCGCGAGCCAGGTGGGCCGGCCCGGCGCTCCTGCTCGCCGGTCTGGCCCTGGAACGGGAGAAGCCGGGAGAGGAGCCCGCCCTGGACTTTTGAGCTGCGATGGCCATCTAAATACCCTTCCATGCTTTGACAAAACCAAGAGCAAAAAGCCGAAACCCAGACACGGAGTTCCCAAGGTCACAGAGTTGCAGCTGCCATTTACAAATGTCTGTTCTTTTATTTGTTTTTAAATGGGCCACTGTTTCCTCCATTCTGCCAGGGAATTAGGATTCGGAGAAGAGGACTCTAAAAATACTAATCGGCATATCCAAATGAGCTGATCCGCATTACTGGCCAGTGACCCTGGCATTTAAAAAGAAATAAGGGAGGACAGTTCTTTTCACTCTAGGTACTTTGTATTTCTGTCCCTTACTCTGAAAATTGGCCTGGATGTTTTACAAAATTTATCTCAGAACTCCATGTCAAAACTGGACCAGACTATAGAGTTCTTAAATTCTTTTTTCTTTCTTTCCTTTCCTTTCCCTTCCTCTCCGTTGTCCTCCCCTGTGCCTCCTCCTCCCTCTTCTTTTTTATTTTTTTAAATTTTTTAGAAAACCGAGGCTCTAGAGGTTAAAGTGATTTGCCCCCACTCCTACAGCTAGGTAGGGACAGAGACAGAATTAGTACTCAGGTCTATTATGAACATCTCCTATTTTCTTGAATGGAAATCTGATTTCAGATGAAAGCTGTACAGAACTTGACCTTCATAAACCCCTTTGTGGATAGCATTCTCAGGAGTGGCTTGTGTATTGAAGTGTGTTGGTCCACAGATACTATTTCACTTGTTGGAATAGGGTTAAGCAATAAGTGTAGCCATGCGGAAAATTCCTGCTGAGATGAGACAGATATCTGAAATGTTTTCGACTTTTTTTATTTGTACTTTCAATAGAGGAGCTAATGAATATTAATCACAATTGGTCATTTTTAGATTTTAATCCTATATGACTAAATTGACTCCGTTATAGTTGTTCTTGTCCTAATGTAGTTGTCACCAGTAAAAATTCCAAAGTGTAGCTTTCTGACTTTGTTTCATTTTTGACTGAATAATTGCCTTAAAGCTATTTTTAGATTTCAACAAAAACTCCCCTCTTGTGCCTCAAAATCCTGCTTTCCCCCTTGGTAAATCTTTGAGTTGGATTTCAGAACCGAATAGGACTGGATTTTTTCCCCCTTCCAGGAAGTCTGGACTCTTTGTTTAGTTCTATATTTAGATTTACCCCAAGTTTCAATTTTGACTGATAAACCTGTGACTCAAATCCAAACCTCAGCTGAATTTAGTATGGCTTAAAACCACATTAAACTGCAGTGTGTCATGTGACCTCTGGCAGAAACCAAAGTGGCGGTATTCTGTTTTTTCATGAGAGCTTCTCATTGGGATTTTGGCAATTCGAAGACATTATCTAATACACTGCCTTATTATCCATGTATTATTGTCCAAGGTCAGTCATCACTGGAGGGTTGTTACTGACATTTACTCATCATAAAATGTGATGTTAGACAGCCTACCAACTCAGAATGCAGTCCCTGGCTTCCAGTGTACAGCTGCTACTGGTTGCCAGCATGTTATCTCTAAGGAACATGGAGTTATAAATACAGCCATACTTAAATAGAAGATGCTTGGCTGTCCAGATAAGGAGAAAGTATTTCGGTAAAAGCAATGTTTTTGTGCTATTCTATGGTAGAAATGAGGACATATACACGCAGTGACCCAATGCTGTTTTCTTATGGTGCATCCTTTGTTTTTCTGGTTTTGGTCTTTTCATCCTAGGATGGCATTAGCTCTGTGTCTGCAGGTGCTGTGCAGCCTGTGTGGCTGGCTCTCGCTCTATATTTCTTTCTGCCACCTGAATAAGCACCGAAGCTATGAGTGGAGCTGCCGGCTGGTTACTTTCACCCATGGAGTCCTCTCCATAGGCCTCTCGGCTTATATTGGCTTCATTGATGGCCCATGGCCTTTTACCCACCCAGGTAGGTAGGAGATGGTAGGGGATTATTTCTTAAGGATTTATGATTTGGGGTTAGTCCTAGAAGGATGGAACTGTTAAATAGAATTTGTACAATATTGAAGAATAATTCCCACTATAATTTGTATTATAGTCTTCATTCTTTATTGTTAACTCTGATATTGCATATGTCACCTCTTGTTTCTGTTTTTCATAACTCTACTTTTAAAACACATTTTTTTTTTTGAGAGAGAGAGGGTCTTGTTCTCTCATCTAGGATAGAGTACAGTGGTGTCATCATAGCTTACTGCAACCTCAAACTCCCAGGCTCAAGCAAACCTCCACTCTCAGCCTCTATGTAGCTTTGAAACTTCAGGCATGTGCCACCACATTTGGCTAACTTTTTTATTTTTTGTAGAGATGGGGTCTCACTATGTTGCTCAGGCTGGTCTCAAACTCCTGGCCTCAAGCAATCCTCCCATCTCAGCCTCCCAAAGTACTAGGATTATAGGCATAAGCCACCATGCCCAGCCTTAAAACAAATTTTAAATTGCTTGTTGTTAATACAATTTAGTCAATCAGAAATGTATAAAACATAAAGCCAATATCAACATCTTCCCACTACCCAACCCCAAACAGGTACAAATAGAACTATATTTTATAAGTTCTTTTGGTAAACTGTAATTTTTACTCAGTTGTAATTCAAAGGACATCATCTTTCCATGTCTACGTAAAAATGATAAGGTCTTACTTGTCCTTTTTGATTGTTCCATGTTATTGTGTTGTATGCATTTGCTATCACTGATTTAACAAACGCTTCATTAATTTGGATAGTTGTATTAGTTTTTAAATCACTAGATGTGGGAGTGTTACTTCCTTGCGTATGCAAAAATTGCACCCCGTGGGTACAAATGTTGGCTGCCATCACAAAATACCACATATTGGGTGCCCTAAATAACAGAAATTTACTTTCTCACAATTCTGGAGGCCAGAAGTCCAAGATTGATAACGTGCTGGTAGGTTTGATTTCTTCTGAGGCCTCTCTCGTTGGCTTGCAGATGGCCACCCTCTCACTGTGTCCTCACATGGTCGCCTCTGTGTGTGTGTGTGTATGTCCTCCTCTTCTTTAAAGGACACCAGTCATGCTGGATTAGAGCCCACCCTAATGATCCCATTTAAACTTAATTTACCTCTTTAATGGCCCTTTTCCCAAATACAGTCACATTCTGAGGTATTGGGGTTTAGGGATTCAACAGATGAATTTGGGGGGTGGGGGACACAGTTTGGCCCACAACTCCCCTTAGATTCTTTTTTAAAAAAACTTCCTTAGATTCACATATTGAGCTTCAGGGTTTTCCCCAAAATTGTGGAACTGAGATGAAAAAGCAACTCGTAAGCTTTGTGTTTTATATGGAGATTCGTAATGGTTTCAAACATGTCAGGTCCTTGCAACCTATGTTCTTAGACATGGGAACACACTAACTTTTGGGATTCTCTCCAGAGTCTACTTTCAGAATAGGTTAGTGCCACTAGTGTTCAGTAACTGGACCCATTAAGCTAAGAAATTAATCTGATGTTCAGGACAGAATGACTCAAGAGTCTGGAAACAGACTGTTAGCAGGTTTAAAAAGCATGTGCCTGCCATTGTTTTTGTCTTCTTCACTGATTCAATAAGATTTGAAAGACAACAACTTAGGATCCCTGTGTAAGGTAGCACTATTCCCAGTCACTCAATTCGCTTCTGTCTTGGTTTATTTCAGGCTCACCTAATACACCCCTCCAAGTTCACGTTCTGTGTCTCACCTTGGGCTACTTCATCTTTGACTTGGGATGGTGCATCTACTTCCGGTCTGAGGGTGCCCTGATGCTGGCTCACCACACATTGAGTATCTTGGGCATTATCATGGCCCTGGTGCTTGGGGAGTCAGGCACAGAAGTCAATGCAGTCCTCTTTGGAAGTGAAATTACCAATCCCTTGCTACAGATGCGCTGGTTTCTCCGTGAAACAGGGCACTATCACAGTTTCACTGGAGATGTAGTGGACTTCCTCTTTGTGGCTCTGTTCACTGGAGTGAGGATTGGCGTAGGAGCTCGCCTCCTCTTCTGTGAAATGATTTCACCCACGCCCAAGTGGTTTGTGAAGGTTGGGGGAGTAGCTATGTATGGTGTGTCTTGGTGTTTTATGTTTAACATCTGGCGCTTTGCATGGAAGAAAAGCATCAAGAAGTACCACGCTTGGAGAAGCAGGTGGAGTGAGGAACGGCAGCTAAAACATAATGGACATCTCAAGACACACTAGCCACGACTTGCTTCAGATAATGGGTTGGGTTAGTCAGCCATGGGAACAAGGTTGGAAATATGGCTGTTATGGAAGTACGCTTAAACTTAGGTTTCAGAAAAGGGCTAAACTTATTGATCAATTTGGTCAGTCTTCAAGCTGAGCATATACCAGTATTAAAACACTAACTTCTACAGTGGCACAGTTGTAGAAAGTGAGAACACTCAGTGGTAGTTGGGAATAAGTCAGAACTGTGAAGTGAGAACGACTGGCACTTATTTTCATTTGTGGTAACCCTGGGTCCTCTTGTCCCTGGGAGCTTTGATGTTCAGACAGAAAGGAACTCGAAAAAGATTAGTGCTATTTCTTGTTCCTTCAAGAAGTAATTGCTTCCATAAACACTTATTCCTGCTTTCTGTGTAGCAATTTATGTAAGTCCATCCCATTTACTATAAAATGAGGGACTGTCAGGAAGACACATGCCTTTGGCAAGGAAGAGGGGATTGGGTCTGCTTAGACGAAGGAGAAGAGAAAAGGATGAGAGTTGAAACTGTGGCAGTGGTTGGGGGGCACTTACTGAACCTCCCTATACCAACTCTGTTGGAGGTCCCCAAGACTACCCCCAGGTTTTGTGATTCACTAAAGGACTCAGCATATAGTCATGAATAGCTTTGATTTATTACAGTGAAAGGATACAAAGAAAAATTAGCAAAAGGAAAAGCCACCTGGGACAAAGTCTGGGGGAAACTAGGTACAAGCTTCCAGAGTCCTGTCCCAGTGGAACCACATAGGAGGATGTGCTTTAGTTCCTCCAGCAACGATTTGTGACAATGTGTGAAATGGTTGTCTGCTGGGGAAGGTAATTATAGACTTGGTTCCTATGGTTTTTACTGGGGACAGGTCATGTAGACAGACTCTGCTGGGCACATAGCAAAATTCAAGACTCTCAAAAGGAAAGCAGGTATTAAGCATAAACCATAGTGTTTGCACAAACAGCTTAGGCACAGTGAGCCAGTCTTATCAGTTAATGGTGGGAAGTCTCCCAAAATCTAAGTTTGCAGATGCCGGCTAAGGGCCAACCTTGCAAGCGGGCCTTTCCAAGGATAGCAGTTCAGGCCTGCTGTGTTAACTCTTTTCTGCACAAAAACCATAGAGCTAGGGGTTTGGATTCCAGATAAATGAGGTGTGGGTAGATTTACTGAGTCCTGCTATATGGGTTCTGCCCTACCAGGAAAACTGTGCCAGTTCTCAGGGCTTTTGTGCATTAATCTCTTAGGCATTTGAGGCTATGACTAAATTCCATAGGGATTTACCATGTGGATTCCACTGTGTTTGAGATGGCAGTTCAGGTTTCAGCTCTGTTGTACATATTGCAAACTAGAGCCAAAGACTTTAAAGTGTATACTGGCCTCAGGGTGATAAGGCTAATTTTTTTGTTTTTCTCTCTCTTTTCATTTCAGATACATTCCCTTTTAGTTTTTCTTCTTTCTCTTAAAAAGGTGCCACTCCATGGACAAACTAATATGATAAGGCCAGTCTTGGAAGGAAAAAAAAAATTTTCTCAGTGTGATAATCTCTAGTCCCAAGTAGGAGAAGCGAGAATAGAAGCTTAGAATAAGGGGTTAAGAATCGAGAATTCTTGAGTTCTTTTAGCTAATTTTGCTACTCACTTGCCAGATCATTTGGGCAAGTTGTTTATTCTCTGCCTCAGTTTAAACCTGTTGTGAATGAATGAAATACCCTGCTGTGTATTTCAAAGAGATATTATGTGGCATTTTATTAGTGGAGGTCTTTATGGCTTTTATGAAGAAATGATTATTTATATATTTATTATTTGTTTATTTATTATTTATTTTTACCACGTTATTTAGACCAATAGTGATTGATTAGCTCAGTTGGTAAGCAAGGGCGCGGTGCTACTGAAGTCAAGGCTGAAGGTCAGTAGGAAGTGTCAGGCCATTCTTTGGTCACTAACCTAATGAGTGGCCTTGAAAATGGATGTCATTAGCCACAGAAACCAGGCATGAGGGAGTGGTTGGAACTGTGTAAAGTCATCACTGCTAAGGGAAAAGAAACTTTAAAGGCATGTTACCAATGGGTCTTTTAAAATGAGTGTCATTTGGTTGAAAACTTTTGCTGGGTATTGAAATAATCTGACAGCAGCATCTCTACCTCTTTTCTTTCTATGATCAGTATCCCTAAAATACTAGTGAGCTTCTTTCCAACAAAATCGTGGTCAAAGTAGGATGCTGGGGAATGCTGATTTTAGCAAAAGCCTAGTAGAAAAGAGTGGCTTGGCGCATGAGCTTAAAAAAAAAAGAAAAAGCTGGCTCTTGAATTTTGGCCCAGCGCAACCTGTTCCATACCAGACAAATGAATAAGCTTAATCTGGTACCAATTCTTTTCTCCCTTACCCCTCAGAAGTGAAGGGATTGCAGATCTTCCTGTTTTGGGGCACTCTCATAGAAATGTACATAGGCTTTTTTGAATGATGAGAAACCTGAATAATTGATAAGGGGAAGGGAATCCCTCATTTCAGCTTTTCTTGATGTTGTAACTCATAGCTATGAAGAAACATCTGAGAGAAAACTATGAACTGAAGATGACTCAGCAGTTAAGATGCTGAGTCTTTACACCACAGGTAAATGAAGGGCTAATTAATGTGTGGTCTGCTCAGACAAAATGAAGTACTCATTTGCACTTGGATTACTATGTAATAATAACTAACGCTGTTCAAGAAGGATTTGTATTTCAATAAGATTTGTACTAAATTTTATAAAAGTAAAACAACTTTTTATAAACCCAGAGTCTGTCTTTATATCTTTATTGGGATTTTGCCAATAAGTTAAAAAAAAAAGAAAAAAAAAAGCATTTTCGGCCTGTAGAAATGTTGACCCATATTCGTATGTACCAGTGAAATATCTCTAATCCGCGGTTTATCATCAGTCATTCCTATTTTTTATTTTGGGGCTAACAGTTGACATACAGAAAACAGTTTGCCAAAAGAGAGGAAAAGAACTTAATTTTTTTTTTGTTCTGCCATCTGTTTGGGCAGTTTCCTTGAAAATGATGATTTGGAGCAAGTTGACATCAGAGACATTATCTGAAGACAGCCAGAGTTCCTGTATTCAAAACTATACTTCCAGCGCTTAAAACAGTCTGGAACACATAGTAGGTACTTAATAAGCATGGATGAGACGATGAGAATGTGGTTTAGAATAACCCCTCCATTAGAAAACCTACTCAAAGAGCATGTCCAGTGGATTGGATCACCTATGTCACTTTTCTAGGGCAAGTGCCCCTGGGGAGGCTGTTCTACCTAGATTGGCTTAATTCTTTTGAAGGCACTCTATAGATTGAGCCTTTAGAACAATTTAGCTACCGGCAGCTGTAAGGAGGCTTTCAGCGGATTTTTTGTTTTAATCATTATTGCTTTGTGGGTGACTATAGAGATTTTCATCATTTAAAAAAAACTGATTCTGGAATGAATAACCACTGGATTAATTCAATCCTTTGCTTACCATCTTTTGAAGCTTTCCCACAGTAAAATGCCTTCTTTGCTCACAGTTAGAACCTTGTGTCTGTTTAAGTCTGGAAGGATCTTGAAAGCAGCTTGCCAAGAGGTTTTGCATGCAAGGAAGAGAAGGTGAATTAGGAAACGTTCCCAGTTTGTTTCATTCCTGAAGCTTAAGTGTTGAGGCATTCTTGAAGGAAAGAGGGGAACACATTTTTAAGATGCATGATTTGATGAGTCATTGGGTCCAATTAATTTAATACTCACACTGTAACATCACTAGAATAGGGGAAAATAAGATAATTTAGTACGTTTAAGAAAGATAGTTTACTAAGCTTGGGGATAAGGTTTGCGTTTTGATCATTGTATACAGACGAGTGGAATGCGTTCCAGTTATATACAGACAACACTCAATTTAACTGGGAGTCTTCAGGATAGAATCGTCATGCTAGGATACACCAGCAGGTGGCAATGTCCTGGTCTGATCATTAGGAAAGTGGCTTGGAACCCTAATCCACTTCTATTCTTTCCAAAAATAAACATTACAAAATTAGCTGGCTGTGCCCCGAACTTAAAAAATCAAGCAATAAAGAGTCATCTTTGGCTTCTGTTTATCTTTTCCTTTTTTTTTTTTTTTTACCCCGTCCTAACGTCAGCCTTAGCTCATGCATCTATTTAGGGATAATGATCCTTTCATTAACTGTTGTGGAATGACTTTTAGAAACAGCATTGTTAAGAGGTAATTGTTTCCTCTCTCCACATCCACTGTTTATTAGATTTGATTTGCTACTTGATTTCCACAACATGGCTGAAATCCCTTGCCACCCACACAGGTTTAAACTCCGAAGTCTGAAAATAGTTGGATAAAAGGGATAGCCGTTTGCAGGCAGAATTGGAGAACGACATTGTCTGTGGTACTTAAATTGCCACAATACTGAATTATTCAATCATAAAACTAGATGGATATCTAAATCTCTCTACCCAGTAGAAAAACAAAAGCCGGAAAAATATTTGGGAACTCTTCAGAGAGAACTGTAATGCTATTTACTGGATAAATACACTTTATTTTCTTCTCCCATTTCTTTCCACAACAAGCTTGTTAAGTCTCTACGGAAAGCACCATACTTTCTCAATTTGGCAAATAATATATTTCATTTTGCCAAGGCAACCTAAAAGCAATATTTGTACCACGAAATCCTGGCTCCGGTCCCCAAATCCTCTTTCTCCCCAGCCTTACGCGCCTCCCTGCTCCAGCCCACCCTTGTCCTCTCCCGGGACAAGGCCAGCAGGTGCCCCAGGTGACCGACCAACGCCGAAACCTCTCTGTGCTGGGATCTGCTTCACCGGGACGCTGGCCGGGCATCCGGACCTGAGCTCGCGTCCCTCGGTCAGAAGCACTCGATACGTGTTATCGGAAAATACGAAGAACAAGTACATTCCCTGAAAGAATAAAAGTTTCCAGGACAAGGGGGGCGCGTAATTCCCAAAAAGAGCCTCTCTCTCATCGCCACCTCCTCGGGATCTGGGGGTGCTCTCTGGAGGTCTCTGGCGAAAGCTTAATACAAGCTACACGCCTAAGTGCACAAATCCAGCACTTACGGGGCTCTGGGGGTTGG